AGAGCCAGGGAAAGAAGAAATGCATACAACACACACAACACATATGGGCCAGTGTGGCTTGGCCCGCATGACAAAGTAGGTCAGTGCATGACGCGAATTGAAAGACACAGGAACAGCGAATGAGACATGTGAACCCAGTAATACCAACTAAACACAGTGATAGGTAGAAAACCAGGGCTGGTCCCCGGTTGGACCGCCGCCAAGCCCCCCCCCCCCCCCGCCGCCCGGGAGCCTGCCGGTCGGACCGGCCCGTCAGACCCCCGATCGAATCCAGCGCATTAGGCTGGACGGGGGGTACCGGGCAGTGACAGGCATCCCCACGACTGCCCAGCCCCCATGAGGCCGCGGCCTCCTCTACAAAAAATAATTGGGCCTTTTCGGGCCCACTTCTGGAAAACAACGAGCGGAGGATCTCCGCCGCTTATCTTTGCAGATCAGCGGGGGACAACTGCCACACGCGTTTTCTCAAAAATTGGGGGCCCACCAGGCCCCATATTTCGATTTGGCATAGTGTGGTCCGACAGACCACGGACCAGTTGCCATTGGCAAGACATACTCGTCCATCCTCAGCCACGAGGGAATTACTATGCTTGGCTCTACTGAGGTTATATAATTCTGCAACATCACTAAGCTCTGGGGAAAGAGTTATGGTTTGGGTTTCAATCTATCTATTTGTCTGAAGTGCAAGGCCAAGAATGGACCTGAGCTATATTTTTCTCTCAATCTATCTAGAATGGACCTGGCTCCACTACATGTATCTGGACACCGTGGCAGGTGAGATACTTTCGGACTGAGGACACTTGTTATGTGCCTGATTGAAACGAGATCCATCATGGCATCCACACGTTCCCATACACATGCGTAATCACAAGTGACCTTTGGAGGGAGCAATCCACACCACACTGGATGATAAGAATACACAGCGGAAGCACACAAACACCAAAAATAGAACTGAAATGAAAATCAATTCTAATTACCGTCTCTCCCCAAGTCAATCAACAGCACAAATTTCCAAGGATCCCAACCACGTTATCAACACCCACGGACCACTTATTTACAAGATTTCATCGAAGTATCCGGGAGTCTTCTTCTTCCTCCCTCTTCCTCAAGCTCTAGCTAAGCACCCAACCTATCAAGCCTGCCAATCTCCACACACCCTCCTAAATCCAACACCCCTCTCTGCACCACTCAAGAAGCCCACTGCAGATGAAATGTCCACTCAGCAGGGGAGCGCAGCTGCCAGGATGATGAAGAATAACCATACTTGCAAGCGGACGCCGTCCGGGC